ATTTCTAATATGTAACACTTACTTGACTTGCAGAGCAGAATTAATTTATACTTGAGAAAGAATTGTGCTTGATGAGATAGAAACTCGAGAAAGAATTTAGCTTCTTACGAATGATGTTAACTCCTTCTTGCCGTGACTCGAGCAAATGTGAAGAGAAAAAATCTAGCCTCTCATAAATGATGCCAGAGAAGAAATTTACTTGATCATCTTCGTAAGCTATTGAGCTTTATGGTTTGGGCCCGTGGCCTTTTAAAATTTTTGATGGAGGAGTTGTTCATAGCTCGTACAGGAGGAGCTCACCATAAAGGGATTTCTGTAGAACTCACCCCACATGGAGTCCCTGCACTTTTCCATCTCTAAAATAGCAATGTATATTTATAATTATAAGTGCAAATGAGCAAAGTAGCATGATTATGATATATAAAAAATGAGATGGTAAAATGATATCATGAATGCAAAAACAAGTGCAGAATGAATGGAAAAATGTGGAATGAATGCAAAGAATGCGGAAAGCAATTAATAGTAAATTTCAATATAAGATTAGACCAAGCTTGGGCCAAAGCTCTAATTTGTTGCAGAGCTCAATTGCTTTCTTGACAACATGTATCACAAGGACTTAAAAAGAGGAGAAATTAAAGCATCCAGTCTTATAATCAAGAAAATATATTATGTAAAATAAATAAGAGAAAAAGATTATGAGTTCATCTTTTTAATATTCAAAGCAATACATGGTTGATGAACTAAATTTATATACACATTAATGTAGAATCTATGCCTTGATATTATTGGTATTTGAATGAGTTTTATGAAAATTTACTTAATTTTGCATAATTTTCATTATGTGTTGGAGAGGACTTAATTGGAAAAAGTCACAATCCTTAGGAGTAAATTGCAAAGACATGAAATTTGAGGATTAAATTATGCAGAATCCAAAAGTAAGGGGTCGGGACTGTAATTTTACCGTTAACAGAATTGGTAGAGAAAGACAAAAACCCGACACGGACTCTTTAGGAAGGATGCAGGAAAAGTGTCGGCACCTTGTTGAGGGTGTTGACACCTTGCAGCTCGTGCTGCACATCTTTTAGTTCATGCTCGACCTCTGCGCCTCGTGTTCAAGTTCTGCACTTCGTGCTTGGCCTCTGCAGCTCGTGGCTGACCTCGGCAGTAAGTGTTTGAGCTCTACAGCTCGTGCTCAAGTTCTGCACTTCGTGCTCGACCTCGGCAATAAGTGTTTGAGCTCTGCAGCTCGTGGTTGACCTCGGCAGCTCATGTTTGAGCTCTGCACTTCGTGCTCAACCTCTGAAGCTCATGGCTGACCTCGGCTGTAAGTGTTTGAACTCTGCAGCTCATGCTCAAGTTCTGCACTTCGTGCTCGACCTCGGCAGCAAGTGTTTGAGCTCTGCAGCTCGTGGTTGACCTCAGCAGCTCATGTTTGAGCTCTACACTTTGTGCTCGACCTTTGAAGCTCATGGATGACCTCGGCTGTAAGTGTTTGAACTCTGCAGCTCGTGCTCAAGTTCTGCACTTCGTGTTGGACCTCGGCAGCAAGTGTTTGAGCTCTGCAGCTAGTGGTTGACCTCAGCAGCTCGTGTTTGAGCTCTGCAGCTGGTGTTCGTGTTCTGCACCTCGTGGTTGACTTCGGCAGCTTGTGTTTGAGCTTGTCAGCACGCAGCTCATGCTCCAACAGGGACTTTGCAGCTCGTTATTGTCGAACTCCCAGGGGGCTATTTGGGGCAACGTGTAGATGCTCTCTTCCTTCCACGGATGGGGAACAAGAGGCTGTTGTAGATGTGCATGGTGTGTTCACGGGTAAATTCTTCGCGCCTCCAAATGGTTCGGTGATGCGATGTGGGCAGTTGAATGCCTCTGCTCTCAACTGAGCATGAGATGAGACTGCTGGCTTTTCAAAGCAGCATGTGTTTTCCTGGTAGTGGTTTAACTGTCATCCTGAAGGGTGGTGTCCAGTCCCTCTAGAACTTCCATCTTTAACACTACCATCAGCTTTTTCTGTCATTGGAACCATAGATTTTTGCTCCCTAACAACTGATTAGAGGGATTTAATTTGCTACTGGCAAGCTGCCCAGTCAGGGACTTATCCCTTGGATTCAAACTCAAATGGTTTATTGCCCAAGGAGGATGCTTGTGGTTGGAAGCCGAACTAGGAGAATGCTTGGTGTTGCTGAGCTGGGCGACTATTTTGTCGCTGCCGAGCTAGAAGAATGCTTCTCGTTGCCAAGTTGGGAGTTCTTCATGAGCTGAGGACAATGGTATTTGAGCAGCTCGAACTTTGATGACGAGGTCGGAGAGCTTAAGGGATTGGTGGATGGTGCGGGTGGCGACAGCCATATGGCCGAGGAACCAATTGATGACTCCACCGACTTTGTTGAATGCCATCTCCCCCAACTCCATGCCTTTATTCACTACGCCCTCCAACCCCATTTCTATTTCCTTCGTTTTGTATTACCAACTGAATAGATGGAAGTACATCCATGGTTAAAGAATAGAGGGGCACATGATTGCCATAGCCGAAACAGGAGGAGCTTGGAAGAAAAGGGATTTTTTATTTTTTTGTGGGAACTTTCATGGTCCGTGCTCACCAGACTAAATTTAAAACCTTTTTTAAGAAAAATAAGATTTCTTCTACTTGAACAAACATATAGTTGGTATTGAAAGTCATCTTTTGTGCGATGCAAGAAAAGGAAGATCTTAGCAAATCCCTAATGGGTTAACCTTCTATTTACTACTACAAAATCTATGGAGTATTTATAAAGGGTCATATCAAGGCCGCAATTTTTTTAGGTCGTTATATTTTAATATTCTAAATTTTACATATATCAATTTTTAAATTATTAACAATTCAAATATCAAAAATAATTTTTGTAGTTAAAAAAAATTGACATACCTTGTTAGACATTTTTCAAAAGCTTAGGGGCGGTAGCTGCCGCCCTTGTCCCACGGCAGGTCCTTCGCTGCGTTCCACGAAAGCTATGTCTTGTTCTTTTCCGACATCTGCTTCTTCTAGCAGAAAAATAACAGCAATTCTGGTTTTTAGTAAGAAGACTCGGGCGTTAAATTGGTGGGTAAATTGACTCAAACTTGGTGAATCAACGTTTGCAGACAAGCATTGTACTTTAAATCGAGGGGGATGAGCGATATCTCTTTGCAGCTATCTGCTCCCCTTCCCACACGCTCTGTTTTCTTTGCAATCATTGTTCTGATTCCTTACTGCAAGTCACAGACTGATTATGGCCCAAGGAGGCGTGACTTTGGAGTATACGCCGACATGGGTCGTGGCTATTGTCTGCGGTGTCATCGTCATCATTTCTCTCACCGTCGAACGAACCCTTCATTACGCCGGCGAGGTGATGATATATTGATTTTTCTGTCTCCCCCTCCACCTCCTCTGTTTTCCGTTGAATTTAAATTTAAAATCTTTAATTTTAAGTTTTAAATTCTTAACAATTTAATTGAAGTTGGAAAATATAATAAATTACTGTACATGGAAAGGAAC